TAGCCATTTTAGATTCCTCTCTATTGAGAATTGTCTATTCAGTTCTGTACCCCACTTTTTAATTGGATTATTTGTTGTTTTGGAGACTAGCTTCTTGAGTTCTTTTAAATTTTGGAGATCAGGCCTCTGTCGGATGTGGGGTTGGTGAATATCTTTTCCCAGTCTGTGGGCTGCCTTTTTGTCTTGCTGACTGTGCCCTTTGCCTTACAGAAGCTTCTCAGTTTCAGTTCTGACTCATGTCAGAAATCAATCTGCCCTCAAGGGCAGCACATTCACTGTCTGTAGGGATATTCTTCTTTAAAGTGCCATAAATGTGGAATTCAGTTCCAGATAAGGAAAATCACAAATATTTGTAGAATAGCAATAATGGCCCCAATTGTTAATCAATTAGTCTTTGAAAGGGTTAAATCTCACTCAGAAACACAAGCTCCTGGATGTTGCATGGCTTTATAGCTGCTTCTAACTGGTCCTCCTGTTTGACCTTTGACTATTTTGCTATTTATTTAGTGAAGTGGTAGGCATCCATCAAACCCACGGCCTCCCCTGTGCTACCCACACGCCCTTATTCTTTACAGGTACAATCTATGCCCTGGGAAGTGATGTCATCTTTTCAGAACATGCAAAGATATCTTTTTAGAACATGCAATGACTCAGATGGGTTATCTGGCCACACACCCACCATTGGCTACCTGCAGTGCAAGACACCCCACCGAAGCCTCAAAGCCTCCCTCTCTGCATGTCAGTCTGCCATTTGTTTCCTGCTTGCTCAGCCCCTCTGACCTTGTTCACTGGTCTCCAGACACACTTATCTTGTTGGTTTGCTTTTGGTTTTGTTTTGACACAGGATGTCCCTATGTTGTCCTGGCTGGTCTTGAACTCTTGGCTCATATAATCCTATATGCCTCCATGCCTGGCTTATTGTTCTTCCTGGAATAAGTCAAGCTTGGCTCTGCTACAAGGCCTTGAAGCTTGCTGTTCCTTCTGCTCAGAATGCTCTTCCAGGTGACCTCTGCGCGGCCACCTTCATCTTAAGATCCACGTACCTGTGGGTTACTCACTGTGTAATTCTGTATCCCAACAGGAGGCACACCTGTTCCTTAGAATAACAGGGTGGCCCTTCTCCAGGTGTGATCAAGGTCTAAAAGCCTCAGGTTATCTTATCAGTCACAGATAACCAAAGGGATAAATCAAACTGGGACTACAGTGGGCAAATAGTCCAGGGCTTGCACACAGCCTGTACACACATGGTGTTTTCTTCTCTTTACAGGTTATTTTCAGAGCTCTGTCACCACCATATGACACAGAAAACCCTTACAGTGCCAAAGTTCAGGAGCAGCTGAAGATCACCAACCTCCGTGTGCAGCTGCTCAAGAGACAGCCCTGCCCTTGTCAGGGAAATGACTTGAATGCAAAGCCTCAACACTTTACACACTATGCAATCTATGACTTCATTGTCAAGGGCAGCTGCTTCTGCAATGGCCACGCTGATCAGTGTGTACCAGTTGATGGCTTCAGACCTGTCAAGGCCCCAGGAGCATTCCATGTGGTAGGTAACAAGAAACAAAACAAAACAAAAAACCTAGAAGTTATGTTCAGCTTTGGGGACTATGGTCTAAGTTCCCTGAGCTGATATCTGCCTAACAGTGTTTATTTCCTCCTTGGTATCCACCCCTCCCATTCCCTACTCAACCCACAAAGTACTATTAACTTCTTTTTGAATCTTCAATTTTGGAATTACAGTCAAGTGTGATAACTGGATTCCTTGGGAATTATCCATGGCAGTTATTTTGTGCCATGACCTTTGGATCTGAAGTGTAACGTGAGCAATATTGAAAAGTTGGCATGGTCATATTCACAGCATTATCACACACAAGCCACCTTTGGCTACGGTAAATAGGGACCACTGTTGAGATTATGGAGCGAGGAAAACAAGATCTTTGCTTCAATGTCTGGTGGCTTTTCTGTCCAGTAGGACAAATAGCAATTCCCTGTGAGAAGCAGCCTAAACACCCTTCACGGGAAGGCAGAGCTAACCTCTCTTACTTCCGTGTTCTCAGAACACAGACAAATGTCTTATATCCATTTCTCTGCAAATGTCCTTGAGTTCTCCCTCAACACTGCCCATTGCCCTTTGAGAGTGTAACTTCCTGCCACCAGGGGATGTGTTTTCAGGATATTCATATCCTCAGGAACCAGCAGGTTACCTGAGCTACAAGCAGGTGCACAGTAAGTGAATACAGAACACAGAAGATTTAAAAGAAAAATATCAGCATTGGTTGTCTTCCATATCCACCAAAACAGGAAAGGTCTCAGACATCAAGAACTTCAGAACTATGGGTAGAGATTATAAAGAAAAAAAAATAAGTAGGAAAACACTCTAACTCTTTAAAAAAAAAAACATTTTTCTTTACCTTTGTGAAATTAATTTTTAGCTAGCATAGAATTTCATTGTGATATTTTCACACTTTCATGCCATTATACTTTGGGCTTATTCAGCCCCTACCCTCCCTTCTCCCCCTCCCCAGCTCTTGCTGTCTGTCTCTCCTCCCCAGAAGTCCCTTTCATGTCACATTCAGTCAATTTACACTCTCTTTAGAACTTTTTCTTCCCAAATAGTACTATTTTTGCTGTCCTGTCCTACACACACACACACACACACACACACACACACACACGCATATGTATATGCATACATATGTAAATCTAAACCTAGATTCTGCACATGAGAGAAGATATGTGCTATCTTTATGAGTGTGGCTTACTTTATTTAACAAAGTGATCTTCTATCTACTTTCTTGTGAATGTCATGATCTCATCCTTTACAGCCCAATGTAATTCTACAAAGTCTGTGCATCTCATTACCCAGCCAACTGCTGACAGTCTTCCAGGCTGGTCTCCTGGCTAGTCACATCCTACATGCACTCAATTCTATACTTTTACACATCCCCAAGCAAAGCAAAAGAAGTAACAGCAGCAAAGATAAACAAAATGGAAGACATTTACATTAAGAAGGTGTGAGTAACTTGGGCCTGGTGGTGTACACTTGTAATCCCAGCACTCAGGAGACTGAGTCAGGAATACTGAAAGTTTAGGGTCAGCCTGGGCTACATATTGAGACCTTGTCTCAAAACGAAACAGAGTGTCTGTAGGACATCACATAAAGGGTAGATTCTACAGTTTCTTCTTTATCCTGGTCCTGATGCAGGACGGACCATGCACTGTTTACCCAGCAGTATACTGAATGTTAATAGGGCTGAGTTGCTAGGGTAACTCAGATGAACAAGAGAGTGGCCAGAGAGTAACAGAAATGATTACCTCTGCAAGTGAGTTTAGTGCTCCCCAAATTAAAAAAAAGAAAGAAAGAAGTGCAGCTATCACATAGCCAGTGGTTTCTAGTTTCTAGGCACTGAAAGGCCTTTGAAATAATACTGCTGCAAATAGAGTGGAATGATTTTGTGTATGTCAGTTAATTTTGTTTCGGTTTGGTTCAAATTCAAATGACCGAGTTACTCCAGACACAGGTAACTGCTCCAGCAGGGATGCCCAACATTTTGGCTTCCCTCAGCCAAATGTTGTCATCTACAAAGGTCATACTTGAGACCTGCACAAACAAGTCACATGACAGGAAAATAAAAGTGCATAATGCTCTGAGTTCCTGTTTGACTTGTGTGCTGGACCACATTTATAGGTATAGCAGAATGCGGGCTACCTGTGGGCTACATGGTGGACATCTGTCAACCAGAAAGCTCATGTGAGAGAGAGTGCTCGCACATCTTGGTACGTTATGGAAAGGTGCATGGGCCTTTTGTTCCCTCGGCTGTCTTGTCCTCCAAGACATGCAGGACTACTTCCCAGCAGAGTCCTGAGCAAAAGCCTTGAGGCCCCCAGCACATGGCACAGAAAGGCTACTCAATTAGTATCTGTGGAATGAATGACCTTTTAAACAATGATCACCCCTTACCAACAAGACTAAGTTGCCAGAGCAGAGCAGAGCATTCGTGTGCATGTATTTGAAAGCAGTTATTTCTTTTTATTTTAAATAGGTCATTGGCTGTAAAGATTTAGTAATCCCAAGGATCCTGGCCCTGTCTTTAAAACCAGAAAAATCCTTAACTACTTGACACTGAAATGGTTGGACACACGCTTGAATGCGATTTTATTTTATTTTCTGGATTTGTGAACAGTTGATGGTATAGGCCGAGTGTCACTTTCCTGAAATATTTGGGATTTTTGGATAGTTCACATATACACAATAAGATTATCCTGGGAATGGAGTCTGAATTCAAACATGAAATTCATTTATGTTTAATGTGGACCTTATGCACAGAGTGTGAAGATAAATGTATATAACAGTTACAGTGCATCCATGTTTAGGCTATGACCCATCACATAGGTCAAGTGTGTAATTTTGTACTTGTGCCATTTTAGCGATGCCCAGAAAGTCCTGGATTTGGGATTTCAGGATGTTGGGTTAGGGGTGTTTAAATTGCTTTAAATTTGGAAATTGGGGCTCAGGAAATGGCTCAGTTGGCAAAATGTTTGCTGAGTAAGCATGTGAGCTTGAGTTTTAATCCCTAGAATCCACGTAAGAAGCCAGGCATGGCAGCACACATCTGTAACAGGGAGGAGTTGAGGCAGGTAGTTCTCTCTAGCCAGGCAGCCTAGCCCCAGGATCGATGAGAGCCTGTCTGAAAACTAAGGTTGAATGAGGAAGACATCCAATATTGATCTCTGGCCTCCACATACTTGCACATACATGAGCACACAGGAATACTTACACCACACACGTACAAATCCTAAATCTGGGCATGGTTGCCTCTTTTGACTTGCTGAGTTCTTATTCTTAGAAAGAACAATCCTTGACCTCAGTGGCACATACAATGGTCAAATGTCATTCCATGTGTGCACGATTGTCAACACTATTTATTTATGAATTTGACTTTTAACAGCTGGATTAATAACTTATGACTTCAGAGTGGTGTTGGGCCGCTTAAGAAATGCTATTCTTTTATCGGTCACTTCATCATAGGTATGTTCATATAAGTGTGACTCTTTGCAGCACATCATTTTTTTTTTCTCTTTAGGAGTAGCTCTTGACTTGTAGTTCCTGAAACAACATTGCCCACATTTCCCAGTAGCCTTTGCAAAGTGCAAATCTTTAGACTCTATTCCAGAGTGACTGAATAGGGAACCCTTAAGTCTGTTGAGCAAGTCTTCCAGGTGATCAGGGTACTTCAGTCTGAGGTGACTGGTTTAAAAACTATAATTTGTGTACAGCAAACCATGATCCTAGGAGTAACTATAACGAACTCTGATTTTCTAGACTAGAATTCTTTTTATTAAGATTTTTAAAATTAGGGTTTCTTTTTCATTTTATGTGTATGAATGTTTGGCCTGCATAAATCCACATGAATTGCCTGTTGGATCCCCTGACTGGTGTTCCAGATGGCTGCAAGCCACCATGTGGATGCTAATTAAAAAGTATGATGTCTCAGGCTTGGTGATACATACCTGTGCTCCCAGGCCTCAGGATCCTGAGGCAGAAGGATTCCAAGTTTGAGGCCAGGCTGGCCTATATCCTGAATGCTGTCTCAGGGAACCGAACATAAACCATAATGGCCGATGTCCAGGCTAGGGTAAACACTACTTTCTTTTCTGTTCTTACCCCATGGCCTGATCTCAGCCACCTCTACTGCTTTTCCCACATACACTTCTTCCCAGTTACAACAAAAACAAATCAAAGCTTGTGTGCTACTAGCATGTTTACAAGGCTAGGGGTTTGTGGCTCAAGAAACTGTACTTTGACTCCAGCCTGCTGAGAGCCCAGAAACTATGTGAGTGGAAGAACCCATGGTTTCTTCTCTTTGCAGTTGTGGAGGACTCATTTAGTTCCTGCTTTGTTTGTCTTTTTTTTCCCCTAGCAGCTGCTGATTTTACAGCTGTTGGATGATGGATGGCAATGAAAAGGAACATGGAAGGTTTTTTTGTTGTTGCTTTTAAAAAAAAAACTGGAATATCCAATCTACTGGACAACACCAGAGACCATTGAGTACCATGGAGAATTGTTTAAATGCCTTGAGCTATGCTTGTTAAGGTAGATTTATAGTTCACAATGAGAAACACATTTAAAAAGAGTATTTTGACTGCAGTATTCTAAATTTCAGACTCAATACTGATATTTGGGGAACAATACCAGCTGCGTTTATGGATAAGTTCACATCACCTAGCAGTGTAAGGCATGTTTGAGACTCATTCAATAGTTTTTTGTTTTGGTTTGGTTTGGTTTTTGAGACAGGGTTTCTCTGTGTAGCCCTAGCTATCCTGGAACTCGTTGTGTAGATCAGGCTGGCCCCAAAATCACAGAGATCCTCCTGCCTCTGCCTCCTGAGTGCCAGGATTAAAAGCGTGTGCCACCACAGCCCAGAAATAGTTTTTTGTTTGTTTTTCTTTTTGCAACTGAATATGAGTACACTTATGTATGTTTGTACAACTCAAGTATCATAAATATAGAACAGATTTAAGTCTATCGTTCCATCTTCTTTCAAA